TAGAAACTGAACCTGTAGATACTGATTCTTTTGCTTATTGGATTGCAAATAAACAATATGCTGTAGCAACGAGACAAAATACAAGTAAGATAAATCCTAAACCCTAAACCCTAAACCCTAAATGTAAGAAAAACAAGATAAACCCTAAACCCTAAACCCTCAACCCAGGTTTGCAGCAGCAGATGCATGCACACGTTTGCTTATGCAGCAGCAGCAGCAGCAGCAGCAGCAGCAGCAGCAGCACGTGCAGCAGCAGCAGCCGTATTTGCTGCTGCTGCTGCTACTGGTGTTACCACTGCTGCTATTGCTGCTGCTACTGTTTCTGTTGCTGCTGCCATTGCTTTTGTCGATACTATTCCTGCTGCTGCTGCTGCTGCTGCTACTGCTGCTGCTTCTACTGCTGCTGCTGCTGCTGCTGCTGCTGCTGCTGCTGCTACTACTGCCACTTCTACTGCTACTAATACTGCTGCTGCTGCTGCTGCTGCTGCTTCTACTGCGCTTAATAATGCTTCTGCTGCTGCTGCTGTTGCTGCTGCTGCTGTTGCTGCTGCTGCTGCTGCTGCTGCTGCTGCTGCTGCAGTGTCTCTGGACCAGCGGGGGCCAGTAGACGACCGCACTGCAATTCGGCGAACAAATTTGCGAAGAGGAAACCCTTCGAGGGTTTCTTTCTCGGAGTGGCAGGGCGCTGACCCCAAACCCTAAACCCTAAACCCTAGTAAACCCTAGTCAACCCTAGTAAACCCTAGTCAACCCTAGTCAACCCTAGTCAACCATTGTAGGCCTTTGTAAACCCTTGTAAACCCCTGGAAAACCCTTGTAAACACTTGTAAACCCTTGTAGAGCATTGTAAACCCTTGTAAACCCTTGTAAACCCTTGTAAACCCTTGTAAACCCTTGTAAACCCTTGTAAACCCTTGTAAACCCTTGTAGAGCATTACAAACCCTCCTAAACCCTTGCAAACCCTTGTAAACCCTCGTAAGCTCTTGGCGGTTAAAGAAAACTCGAAAGTCTGACTAAACGCTATTTGTTTATTTGTAGCTTATGCGGGATCAACAAAATAAATTTTTTTTATTTATTTTTTTATTTGGTTTCGATTCTTCTAGCAAGTATAATAAAAGAAATAAAATGTATACCCCTAAAC